AAGTGGAACGTATGATCAGTAAGACAATAGTAACAAAACAACAAAAATCAAAACCGCCCCAATTACCTCGGTCATTCGCAGGAAAGCTGAGTAGGGCAATAAAATCTATCAATAACAAAGGAGCAAGCCACTAAACCCATTAATTTCAAATGACGGCCCCAACAAAATAAAGTGTTTAAACTAAAAGAGACCAAAAATAAACATTTGTCACTTCTAAATGAACATACAATAAATTAAGAAAAAGTAAACAAAAAAAACACCGAATTCTAATGAATTTGGTAAACCAACAGAATACAGTAGAAGTCAAAAATGACCTCCCACCGGTAACTGCCTAATCGCACCAATTGCACACCTACTTTTCAACACGGAGATGGAATCGCAACGCGAATAGAAACTACAGCAAAGACAAGACAAAAACTAAACAAACACTTACGCTCTAACCTAGGAACGTACAGATCTGACCTTACGTTGAAGACGCAATAAAAGAATTAAACAGTCGTTACGAACACATACCTAACTGTATTCAACGTCGCAATCGAAATACAAAACGGAAAAGACAAGATCCGCAAGACAGAACGACAACTTTGCTACAATAGCAATATGCTACAGACTTGGTACATTAGGTACCCATAACCACTACGACAGCATCTTAAAGGTATGGCTAAAACAGCGACTTGCACCAAGGAACAGTCCTAACACGATCGACAAAAACGTAAACCAGAGCAATCTGTAATGGAAAATACACTATTACGCAATCAACAAACAACGACAGGACTGAATTAGAGGTAAACACGCAACTCGGCAATTACTTATTAGGCACACTAAATGTAATCGAGCTAACTAACAACATTCCAATTTCAAATATTAATCCCAAATGTTTGGAGTAATACTAATTACCCGGTCTAGGGGGATTTCGCGTCGTACGCAGATTTGAGTCGGCGTAATTGTCCCCTAAAAACCAAAATGTCTATCCCACCGTCCCCACCACCGTATATACATATGTTCCTAATAGGTGTATAGCAACGGCTCGGTGAATCCGGGAAAGGCTATTCAAACAATTCGCATGTCGCTCTCGAGACCCAAATATGGTACAGTACCGGACGCCGTAGACATTCGCACCCAGCAAAAAATCGGCGTACGGTACCGATCGAAGGCTTGTACAAGGCTCGGATGAGATGAGGCAATGAAGTGTTTTTCAGATTTTTTTGAATGGTGTTTTATGTCATTATTAAAAATGGATATTTACCTAACTAGTGCGAAAAGTGTTACATTTCTGCACGCGCTGCCGTTGAACACACGAAGCGTAGCGATTATACGTCGTTTCCGCACTCTATGGCTGACCAAAACTTTTCTACGCGTCGCTCGTTTAACGGCAGTCGCGTGCGGAAAAGTAGCACTTTCCGCCCTCGCTAGGTAAACAACTATTTACAATATAAATGTGTTTTTTTGTTATCGCCCATCATGTTGATTTTTAACGAAAAACACGATTGGGCGATATGCTAACCTGATAATGGAGAAGTGATTTTCATTAAAATGCTGACTCTTTTTTATGTCAACCCGTTGAATAATATTTATTTGACGGGTTGTAACATTTTTACAAGGGACACGAATTAGCGATAAAATCACAGACCTACCTGTGGATAAAATAATGTTGTCTAAAGATCAGTGGCCCAGCAAGAATATTTTTTGCCCGTAAAAATTCCGTTAAACCAAATGTTACTAGCGTCCTTTTAAAACAAGGCTATACAGTTCTCTATAATGGCTAGTATAGCTTAGGTCATTGAATTGGGCAGTCTAGTTGTTGAAATTTCTTCCTTATAGGTACTTTTAGAAACATTTTAGAAACGATTAACTGCCCTTTCGGGCTAATTTAAAAAAACTAATCGCTGTTTTTGTGATGTAAATTTTTTTAGAGTGAATCATAAAGAACCGAAGGTAAGTAACACAAAGAATATTTAAATTTTACAAATACCTATTTTGAGAGGAAATAATCTACCCGGGAGTCAATTTTGGACACGAATGATACTAACGAAAACTCTGAATCAAATAGATATAGATAGATCCTGATGAGGTTGTACCTAGCTATTTCAGTACTTTGTGGAGAAGCAAAGTATATTTCAAAACGGAAAATATTGGGCTTTACAGAATTTCGATCCGGGGCAGGAAATTATACTTTCCTATAATTTACCATTGCATTGATATGACCGTACAAAATGCATTGCATATTTATAGACTTCAAGAGGGAAAAATGGATAATCTAACTTTTAGAAGAGCGATTTTAACTAATTTGCTGGAAACCTAAAAGAGGACCTCCATGTTCATCAAATAATGCGTATGCCTATTCTTGGTACGATAAGATTGGCCATTTAATTATTTACCAAGAGAAGAAAAAAAAAGTGCAATTTAGATGTGAAAAATGTGACGTTGGGTTGCATCCCAAAGATTGTTTCAAGGAGTATCGCACTAAATTAACTTTAACTAAAGTTAATTTTGGAAATGTGTCATTTATTGTTAACAAATATTTTGTATTTGTAACAATAAATTTTGACAAACCTATAACTAGCCTATATTACTAATGGCCTTTTAAAAGGTCCAACATTTTTTTTTAATTTTCTAAATTAAAAATTAAAAAAAAATGAAATATTAGTGAATACGATTGTTATGAACTATAATCAACCATTTTTATAAATAATTTCAAATTTTTAGTTCAAAAAAATAAAGCAGTAATGTTCCGTTAAATGTATGACTTTTTAAATGTTAGGCTTCTTAAACGAAAATGGTAAAACTTTTTCTGTTGACCCAAAAATGCAAATTCAATAGTCGGCATTCACAAAATTCACGAACGAATAACGAAATTTTACAAAAAAGCCGGGTTTCTGCAGATGGATAGTCACTAGTGCAGCTGCAATAGTTAAGTTGTATAGGTACTACGAGTACAAAAAGATATTGGAACAATCCCGATTTTACAAAAAAAGAGGGAATTTGCCGATTTTTTTTCAAAATCACTGACATATAAGACTTAATCAAGCCGTAAGTCGTTAATATTAGCTACTAGAATTAGTGGATATCATTAAATTTAATCGGCCTGATTTTAATGACTTTTGTGAGCAAATTGGCCTGAAAAGGACTTTTAGCAGAGAGTTTGTATTTGGTTATTGTTTAAAAAACACGAAAGTACTTACTTATTAACATTTTTTCTGTGTTGTTATAAGCAAAGTTTATTGCATAATTACCTAATAATAACAAATGTAAGGTGTTATAATAATAACAATTATAATTTTTTACATTTGATGCGCTTGACTTTCATTGTTGCAACCACAGACAAAATAGACTTGCCCTGTTCAGTATCGCTAACATGAAACCAGCGTGCCATAAATCGGGGAAGGGGGGCAAGGGAATGTATACATTATATTATATATTATATAAGAGAAGATATGTATTCTGCCAGGCCCGTATTAAATAATTTCGTACGAGCGGTATCTAATTTAAAATATTCCTAGTGGATTATCAAAGAAATTCATCTAGTTTTACGCTCCAGAATGAACGAAGTACGGCTCTATGCACAGGAGAGAACAACACAATATCTGTGTGCGCACGCAAGGTATTGACATGCAAAATTAATAAAATCGCTTAAAATTTATCTCGTAATTACTACTTACTGGAAAAAGGAAATTGGTTGAAATTGGCTGGAACTAGTTTCACTACGACTAGGACACACTTTGACAACACATTTACCCATAATGTTCAAAGAATTTTACATAAATAATATATCCTCACAGGTCAACTGCTCAAATATGAATGATGCGATCTGGAAAACAGGCACCCGTTCAGGCACCCGCCCGGCCGTATCATTTTCTCCCTAAGGCAAGTCTATTTTGTCTGTGGTTGCAACTATACCTATAAGAGGTATGTGATATGTTTTAAAAACTATAACCCATGTGTACTTGTGACGCAATATCCATTTTCTCAGCTGACCAATTAGATCACAGCTGAACGTCATGTGATCGCATCTTCCCACGTTTTCTAGATAGCTCTAGGTCAGTACATCCGACTCGGTACTACCGAGTATTACCGTTTGCGGGAATATTACTCAAAAATCGGCTATTTTCGTCATATTTGCAGGTGCAATTTTGGTATTTTGCAAATTTTGATCAAAATACTAACTAAAGAAATTTTTGGTAAATAATAGGTATTGTATATTTACTATATATGAATAATTATTTTATTCTAACCTGTACATTTTTATTGAAAAATTTAAGATTAATTTAAATTATTTTTCAAAACAGTAAACAGTAAAATATTACTAGTTTTTTACTCTTGCGGGTAAGATCGGGTATATTGCAATTTTTGGTTCATGACATTCATCCGGCAACACTGTACTTACAATGAAATACAAAAGCCATGAAAGGGGCTCGATGTTCGACCATATTTGTTATATGGGTTCGAATGTCGAACACATCATGCCTATGCGTTGCGAAGAATTGTTATAGCTATAACACCTTTTGTAATCAAAGAGGTATCAGTATGTGCACAAACCAAACATATATCTTAAATGTTTTATTGAGATAAATTTAAATAAACATTGCGTACCTATATTGTAAACATTGCTTCTGTGTTGTTATAAGCCTAATGGCAACACAAGAACAATGTTTATAAAACTTCTTTGTGTTTTCTTTTACAATAACCAAATAAAACATATCTGAATAATTTTGGATATTTATTTTAATCGCCATAGGTACCTACCATTTCTCTTCTAAAAGTCTTATTAACTCTTCCAGAAGTCTTTTTTCGACTAAATAAGTCTTATTCAGAGTTTTTAAGTGCCAGTAAGGCTTTCAAAACTCTTATTAAAACTTTTTCAGAGAAAAATTTCCAGGAGAGAATATATGGAATATATTATCAGAACCTTGCAAAATGCTGATTTCAGAAAAGTTTGGTGGTGACACCCCCTCGATAGGCCCCTTCTCACACGTAAATAAACAACGTACCCGAGAACGTACCTAAATGCGGAGACGTAGGCGTGCTGACAGCTGTTCTTAGTTTGAGAGTCGATTTGCCTTCCTCAGACCAAACGTAATTGGAATCAAGATCGTTCGACATGTTCCTGTTTCTTTGAAAATGGGGAGAACCGATACTGGCAGTTCTAGCTTCCGATAGCGGTTTCGCTTGCTGGATATTCTTCATTTGTCTTAACACTTCCAACGGTGGTACAGGTGGTAGCGGAGGTTTTTTCGGCGGTAAAAACAAGTGTGGCGGTGCCTGCTGACTGTCTCCCCTTGGCGGCAGTTTTGGAGGATATTCGCCATTGGAGTTTGGTTTTGTGGACAGCGATTGCGATCTTTGCCTTTCTTCTGGAATGATTTTCGGTGGCCGTTCCGGCGGTGTTTCGTCGGAACTTCTTCTTGGCAATGGCTGGATGGGTGCTGTCTCTAGTTTCGGATTTTTATCAGACTTACTTTTGGCACAGCACGAAAATGCTCCCTTTCTATCAACCGTTGGGTATTCTATTACGTTTTCTGGTCTCTCTGCGTTGCCATTAGTTGTGTTTTGTGGGAGAATTTCATCATTTATTGTCAGGTTTTCAAAACTATCACGAACAGGAGGTGGGGGTATAATGTACGCCATAATCTCTTCGGGCGTTAATTCCACTGCTGGAGTGAGTCTCTGCGTTGGCGGTTGTACAGTGACGCTGGCTAAAAACTCCTCCAGGTCTTCATCGATGTTAACGATTCCAATCCTGTTTAATTTGTCAACAGAGTCTGCGAATGAACTTGGAGGTACGTTTATAGGAGTGGATAAGGCACAATCAAGTTCATCGGGTGTTCCAGGTGGAGGGATATTAGTTAAGTCTATTAGGTCTGGATCAAAAACGTAGATGTCGTTGATGGAATCCACGTCTGCGGTGCTTTGGCCGCCATTGTTCCGTAAGTCTTTAAGTTGCTGGAGATATGCTTGGAAATCGTACTCTTTGTCTGCGCTGTTATCTGGACTACGCAGACCGAAGCTAATTCGGTTGGATTTGCAGTCAGTTGCAAATATGTGTTTTGGAGAGTTTGCCGGAGTATATATAGAATCATTGTCGCTTTCTGATTGCATGGTTTCAGATCGCAGCAATTCAATGGCCGCATTTGTGAATGTTGGCTTTGGATTGGGATCATTGTTTGTATGGCCCTTTGTTAATAACAACAAAGAGTCACTGTGTTTTAATTTACCCGGTGCATCTTCTGTTAATAAACTATCAGTATCGCTTTCTATATCGACGCTGGTCTCTTGCCACTCAGCCACCGATTGTAATCTTTCCAAGTTTTGTTGTTCGGTTAAATACTTTTCGGAATTTTCAACGAGTTGTTGCATTTCGTGAATTCTTCGCAACACCTCGTTGTTTCTTGTTTCAACTACTCCACCTTCGAGAATTTCCATTGAAACCACACTTGGCAGATCATACGAAGTGCTATCAAAACTATTGTAATCACTTTTAATTTGATGATTTCTATTTGATAAAGAATTGTTCATATTGCTATCTAAACTGTATCCTAACATTAACGGCGTCTTGCTCTGTCGGCCCATAGTGTTATAGAGACCATTTGTTTTCTTATTAATTCCTTGATAAATTGGTTGCATGGCAAAGCATATAGATTTAACATTGCTCTGGTTTATATAGCTCCATTTTTCAGGTACTACACGATGATGTGATAAAAATGGAGGAGCCAAGTCCTCCATTGGGGCCTCTTCTTCTTGATCTAAAGGTAACTGTTGACCCGTCGCCAAATAAAAATATCCTCTAACAACTAAAACAAGTTCGTTTGCATCCCTTTCTTCCAAAAAAATCGAAACCATTTTATCATTTTGCAAACGAATTAAAATAGTCCGACTTATTTCGTCGTCGCTTTTAACTTCTATCCTTCGCATATCTTCAATATTCGCAATTGGGACCGGCTGAAACTAGAACGTTTGATAATGTTAAACTTTACATTAATTAGAATTACCACTGAATTCCTTGTGCCCATAATTTGACTAATTCCGAATTTCGGACTAACTAAAATAACTCTTTCCATAGCGTCGCCTTTAGGACCGGCCGAAAAACATTTGGCTCCATAACTAGGTAGTTGACTAACAATATCCAAATAGTGCAGTTTCGCTTGGAGCGTTGTAAGTTGTTTACCGGGCCCGGCCATGTTCGAATGCAATTTCAAAAAATGTCCTATTAATTTCCTAACTTCCTTGCGCTTAATGTTTTCTAAAAGCGATGCGGGCACAAAACGTTCCAAACCGAAATCCCTCCTGAAATAAAACAAGTTTGTTAATCTAATTAGGCAACTTTTGATGATCTCTCGAGCTTACTCTATCGTCTTGATTGTTAATTTCGTGCCTGGAATATTGTTTGCCAAGGCGTGCTGATGAATGTGCAGCGACGCCAGCATTAATGCCGTATCGTATTGTAACTCCGGGGCAAATCTCTCCTGGATCACGTCGTTGCAACATTGCGTGTACAAATAATCCAGCGCGTGCAGGTCTCTTTGAGCCAACTCGGCCGCCGATGATGGTACGAAAGCCACTCGAAACAGACATCTCAATTTGTGTGCCCCAGGTCTTGCAGCGATCTAAAAAAAACACTATTTGATACTGATGTTTGAATAAGAGTTTTTAATAGTGTGTATAATTCTGTAAACATGTTTGCTTGCAAACAGTGCCGTAACTAAAAAATAGCTGGAAAATCCCAAAACTGTTTCTTGGCAAAATTTATAAATTAATTTTGATTATAATAAAAAATATAAACATAGCCTGAAAACGGATGTTGGAAATGCATTTCAGGGGGTTAATATCAAACACAGAAAACTCAAAAATTTTAATAGCAATCTTCATCATATTTTATTAAATTTTATTAAAATCGTGTAAAAATATATAACAGTTAAAATGATTGACTAAAAATATCATACCTTAAGGTATATAGGTAATTATATTAAGATAATTATAATAATTATTATATTATTAAGTAAATCTCTTTTTTATAAGGAAATGGTTTAATAGCGCGCCATTAATACTTTCGCTATTAATAGTTATACAATATTTCCTTAAAAAAAAGAAATTTACGCGTATTTTTTAATTTCTAAAAAGTTAACTCAAATAAAGCTTGCTGCCGTGGGCTAATATCAACACATATTAGCCCATTCGTTGATATTAGCCCACTTTAAAAGTTGCGTAATAACTCTTTTTTAAATAAGTAAAGTATAATAAAAAGTGCTTCTAAGATAAAAAATATCTTATATTGTGTTGATGTAGATGATACAGCCACAGCCCAGTTAAAAGCAAAATACACAATTATTTTTGCATGTGATGATAAGCATGAATTGGTTTAAATCGACTCACTCAAACATAGCCTTTTTAAACTATGAAATGGCTGAAAATAGTGATTTTTCGAAAACATGAATTTTTATTATATTTTTTTGAACTCTTAGCCAATATTATTTGAAAATATTTTCATTGCTTTTATATAGAGTAAGATCTTTGGTAACAAACTACATTACAAAAATTTTGCTGGCCAGTTGTTCTAAGAATATATTAATTTATAAAATTAGACAATTTTGCCAAAAAATTGCATTTTTTTTAAAAACCCAAAGACCATTTAGGGCATCAATAACTAAATGTGTCCTATATGGATTAAAAGAGAAATATTTTCTTAACAATTAACAGTTTGTTTAATGTCGATAGCTTTATTAGCAAAAGAAGTACAATTTTTTAAAGTTAGGTCTGCATAGTAACTTTTGCGTAGCCCTGTATAAATAGGTGATAGGGGAGTTTTTTCACTTCTTGCGTCCTTGTCTATTTACAGTTTAAAAATAAATAAAATTAGAGTATATGAGGTGCACTCATAAGTGGCTAATAAATAGAATTACCCTTAACAAATAAAATTGGCTTTAAATTCTAAAAAACATTACACTTTCAAGATAAAGTGTTGTATGCCATTCGACGCAGAAGGTCTTTTTATGCTTTGCTTAATTATAGGCCTTTGATAAGCATTTGGGCCCAGCACAAAAATACTGCTTCTTGGCCTGATGACATAAAAAACTATTAAGCATAAAATAAACTAGGATAGGTAATATGTTTTCCATGGCATACCTCACTTAAATTTATTGCAATATTTTGTTGCAATATTTTCTTGTAATGCTTAAAAAAACACACCCTTATTATTAGTAACGACAATGCTTGCAATTTGCAATCCAAACATGATTATAACATAGTGTCTACTAAGTACAGTAAGTTTATTTCCAGCTTACCCTCGCTAAACTATCGGTGGGATCGAGCAGAGTTAGTTTGTTCCTTTTCAGAGATTTGATATGTTCGACCACTAAACTAAAATGTTCGGTAGCTTGCAAACAAAGCTTGGTCTCCAGGGAGGTAACCACATCTTGCACAGTCGTCCATGCATCATACTTGAACGATTTTGTTTGGCCGTTCTCCAAAAACACTTTTAACACATTCGCCATCGGGGGAACACACAGATCGCCCAGGGAGAATGCAGAAGGCTACAAAAGAATGTAAAAAACTCCATTTAAAATGAAACAATAAAATGGTTTTCTAATTAAAAAAGGTACCACTTTTAAACCCGATTCATTTACCCTACTAATAACGTTTCTAGGAATTTTTTGAAATTTTTTCACCCAACCGTAAACAGATTTTTTGTTTAAATTCTTATATATACCTTATAAAACTGACGATGTTTTTTTTTATATAAAATTTTTCAGTTTTTCAGAAAAAAATGTATTTAAGTTGTTTTATTAAAAAAAAAACTTTAAAAAGTGATATTCAAAATTAAACTCGGGTTTTTCGGTTGGCAAGCGGACGACAACAATGTTGTATACATGTATAATATACAGGGTGTCTCAAAAGTCAACGATATCCTGATGGGCCAACGATATTCTGATGGACCAACTCACCCACTGGAAAAGAAACCTTACAAAATATTGCTGCAATGTTCGCCGACTTTACAAATAAAATATTTCCTGTGCTACTTGCATTAACATAAATGAAATGTTACATACAAATATTGCAAATAATAATTTCCAACAACCTTAAATTTAAAACATTATTTAAAGATTCACATGGAAAGTTTTTACAATGTTATATTTGTAACATTTAGTATAAAATGTTGGATAAAAGTTTTTAAACATTACAATTATAATATTGCAGACATAACTTTTTTCAATGTTTCAATTGAAATATTAACACAAGTTTCAAATGAAAAATGTTTGCAACTTTACTTTAAATATACAATAGAAACATTTATTTTGGAATGTTACTTTATATTGTTTATATATATTAGGGTGTCCGTTATTTACCAAGTTGATTTTTTTTCTTGCGACGCCCCCTAAATTTTTAGTCTATCGTCTAAAAAAAAATTTCAGGCCAAAATAAACTCTTAATATTCATAGGTTTATTGGTGTTGGCGGGAATGCTTGTAAGAGTAATTTTGAGTCACTTACTGTATGGAAGGAAAATTTCATAAAAGTATACAAAACTTGAAATTCAATAAAAATTAGTTGACTGTGCCAAAATGATTAAAACTAGAACCAGCTACCTGTTATTATTTTCCAGGTTTAAAAATTGTATATCCTAATACCACCAGAATTATCTATTTTCAGAAATATACTTTCATCGAAATAATAATAACTTTGCCGTAAAAGTAAAAAAAAATCAGAAAATGTACACAGAGTTTAACTTTCACCTCGAATAACTTTTTAACGAGTAATTTAATCGAAAAATTATAAGAGACCTTTTTTGTAGAACGTTCAATTTACTATAAGAATATATATGTCTCATTGCTGTAAGTCATCTTGCCTGGGAAAAAAAGAATTAATTGAAAAAAATGTCAAAATCCCATGTAATTTGAATGGGAAATGTATCGTCTTTGGGGCAAGGTTTATTATGAATATTAAGAGTTTATTTTGGTCTGAAATTTTTTTTTAGACGATAGACTAAAAATTTAGGGGGCGTCGCAAGAAAAAAAATCAACCTGGTAAATAACGGACACCCTAATATATATAAACAATATAAACATTTAATTTGCAAGATAAGCATTGCAATTATAAGGTTACATTGATAAGTTTTGGGCAATGTTTCATCCGAAATATTACATTAAGATGATTTTTGCAATGTTGCTTTATATAAACAATATAAACATTTAATTTGCAAGATTTTTGAAACATTGTAATTATAATATTACATTGATAAGTTTTGGGCAATGTTTCATCTGAAATATTACATTAAGATGATTTTTGAAATGTTGCTTTATATAAACAATATAAACATTTAATTTGCAAGATTTTTGGAACATTGTAACTAAAATATTACATTTATAATTGTAACTTTAGTTTTGGACTATGTTTCATCCAAAATATTGCATTAAGATCATTTTTGCAATGTTGTTTGCAGACTGACTTGCCGATGCATCTCGCCGCTGTCTTGGTAATTTATATCTTTATAAGTGAACATTGCCGAGCTTGATGCGTGTCTCCCGTCACCGACTGCCTGACACTGATGAGACCAAACAGGTCGAAACAGTCTGTTATTTATATATAATAGGGTATAGCTTACGGATAAATAATTATAATTTATTATTATAATAATAATTCATATTAATTTAATTGCAATGTTCCTGTAATGTTGCAGGAACCTTTCATTAACAAAAATAACATTTAGTAACATTGCAATTAATACATTTAAGCAACATTTTATTTGTAAATGTAATGTTTCTGAACCATCAGGCTTTGTTGCATTGTTCCTGCAACATTGCCACAAGGTTTTTTGTAACATTACACCTAACAAATGTAATGTTGCAGGAACCTTACATTAGCAAAAATAACATTTAGTAACATTGCAATTAATACATTTAAGCAAAATTTTATTTGTAAATGTAATGTTCCTGAGCCGGACATAAGGCTTTGTTGCAATGTTCCTGCAACATTGCCACAAGGATTTTTGTAACATTACATCTAACAAATGTAACGTTCAGTAACATTGTATAAATATTATTTTTCCCAGTGGGCATGACCAATCAAAAAATCAAAACATGACCCTAGTAAAAAATCGTTAGTTTTTATGAATTTTGTGACCTTAGATTAGTTTTTCAAAATTCCATATTTTTAGATTATATTTTATGTTGCGCAACATTAGCATTTTGTTCTTTCTTTAATACATAAATATTTTAATATCTTATATTTTGCATTGTTTTAAAAGATTAAAAAAGTAATAATAGTCCTGCAAGACACAACAAAATTCCATGTCGCTTTTTTAAATTTGTGTGTGTGTGTCCAATGTCCAATTTTGTACCATTTTAAAAAAAATTAAAATATTTTGCCAAGTTAGTTTTCAAATGTTAAAAAACAACTATTACCCGATCAACATTTAACGTAACCCATTATTGCCGTTATGTAACATAGGAGTAACATTGCAATGTAACGATGTTACTAAAATGCAACGCAACAGTTACCTAAAATAATGGTAACATTGTTACCGTCCCAAGTTAACCAATATGCAATATAACAATAACGTAACATTGCGATACTATTGTAATGTAACAAAATTACAAATAAGCAATGTAACAACAATGTAACATTGTGAACCTATTGTAATGTAACACAATTACCAATAAGCAATATAACAGCAACGTAACATTGTGAAACTATTGTAATATAACAAAATTACCAATGAGTAATATAACAAAAACGTAACATTGTGAAACTATTGTAATGTAACAAAAGCAATATAACAGCAACGTAACATTGTGAAACTATTGTAATATAACAAAATTACCAATATGCAATATAACAGTAACGTAACATTGTGATACTATTGTAATGTAACAAAATTACCAATAAGCAATATAACAGTAACGTAACATTGCAATACTATTGTAATAAGTTTGTAACGTAACAGTTACATTTGTGTTACGTAACAAACTTAAACTTATACACATCATTTAAATCTCGCTCGTGTTACCACCTCGTTTAGGTACATAAACGAAGTTAAGACAGCGCACCCTGTCCATTTGTCATTGGACCTCAAACAGTATGCCTGATTATGGGAAAGTCGGAATACGATATTATGTATCATTTGATGCGCTTTAGCGTTCAACTAACGGGACTCTCATGTCGAGCATAATAACGTTGCAACGTAACAATGTTACATAACCATAAAGGTCAGGTTATGTAACTGTAATGTTACATATTACGATTGTTGCATAACATTTTGGTTAATGTTACATTTTGAGTTATGTTTCACTTTCATAACGGCAACATTGTAGTCCATTAAAAAGATACATAACAACAACATAACAATTATAATGCATTTATGCAACGACAACGTAACATTTTTATGTAACAATGTTATTTAAAAAAGCGGGAAATATGAACCTATTTGCAACCGTCAGGTTATGTAACTGTAATGTTACGATCGTTACATAACATTTTGGTTAATGTTACGTTACAGTAATGTTTCACTTACATAACAGCAATGTAACATTGTTATGTAATAATGTTACTTCAATGAGTGTGAAATAGGAACCTATTTGCAACCGTCAGGTTATGTAACTGTAATATTACGATCTTTACATAACATTTTGGTTAATGTTACGTAACAGTTATGTATCATTTTCATAACGGCAATGTAACATTGTTATGTAACAATGTTACTCCTATGAGTGGGAAATAGGAACATATTTGCAACCATCAGGTTATGTAACTGTAATGTTACACATCACAATCGTTACATAACATTTTGGTTACTGTTACGTTACAATGTTGACCGGGCGGGTGTTTTGATTAAAATAAAAAAGTTATTAACCTTTCAAGTTAGCCTTATTCGCCCTGGGTTTTCTTAGGTAATTTGCTAAAAAATGTTGTTTGTTAAAAATCTTTTAAAGAATGTTTTAAGATTCCAAAAATTCCACCGCCATATCCGCAATTCAGAAGCGGGGAGTATCTTGAAAAAAGTAACTTAGATACTTAAAGTATCTAAGATACTTTATCTTAGATACTTTTTATATTGGACAGAAAGTATAACTTAGTTACTTTGGAAAAATATCTTGTAACTTGTATCTTAAAAAGTATCTAAGTTACTCGGTAACTTAGATACTTTAAAGTAACTAAGATAATTTTTAACTAAGATACTTTTTAAAGTAACTTAGATACTTTTCAGTCTAACTTAGAAACTTTCTTAGAGAAAATTGGGGGAATTACATAATGATTCAAATTACCTAATTAGGTTAATCTACAACTTGTTGAATTTTTATAATTTTATAGTTTTTATTCATACTTAAAAGTAACTTAGTTACATAAAAGTATCTTAGTTATTTAAAAGTATCTTAGATACTTTCATATAAATATAGTATCTTAGATACTTGTAACTAAAGATACTTTTAACTCAAAGTATCTAGTTACCAGAGGTAACTAAGTTATTCTGTTTAAAGTATCTGAGAAAAGTAACTAGATACTATTCTGAAGTAACTTTCCCAGCTCTGAGGATATTT